TCTTTATACATTAAAAAGTTTTTTAAATAATCTTCTGCTTCTTCTTGTGATAAATAAATAATTGGAATTTTGATTAAATGCTTTAAAGATTCAAATGTATCATCTGAAGGTGAACCTGAACGGTTGATATAAATTAACACATGTGAATGGGGGGAAGTGTTAGCAATAATGATAATTTGTTTTAATATCGTTAATGTTTTACCTTTATTTTGTTTACCAATTGCTGCAGTGATTGAATTTAAGTAACATTCAGAATATGGAATTTTCATTAATTTTTCCTTAGATAGAGCATTTCTATTATCACTCAATGCTTCATTAATCATATCATCTACGTATGTATTATATACATCTGTTAATTCTTCAGAATTTAAATTCATTTAATCAAAAATAAATTTATAATTTTAAACATTTCTATTCATCAATATTTCATCATATGAACTTCTATACTGTGGTGGTGTACCTGTTGGATGATATTTCAAACCTTCTTCCGGTGTCCATGTCCAATATGTAGTCCTAGTAAACCAAACCTGAGGAGGATTTGTCACCTTTGAACAGTAAGTGTCATTTTCACCCTGAATGATTGGATAAGCTTTCACTTGTACTGTAACTTGTGAGTTGAAAGTTTCTAATCCATCAAAGAATATACCCGCTCCATCACGTTGAACTGGAATAGTGCATAAGAATGAAGTTTGGTCTTTCCATGTTCTAGCTAATGGTGTGCCATTATCATCATTCAGTGGTCTAGTTAATGAGTCCTCGTATTCTTCTGTGCATTCATTCACTCCATCTAAATCAGAAGCTTGAAGCATACGTGTAAAGAATATGTCGCCCACTGTGGTCATCGCTTGATCGGGGAAGTTTCTGGAATCTATAGTGACCTGAAGACCTCGAAGCATTGGATTTTCTAAAACTGTTCTTTGCATTGCATTCTTCGGAAATGTTAACACAACATCTGTAACATTATGAAGAGCGTATGAGAAATCTGAGCTAATACCTTCAGGAGTGATGCAACCTCCATTTAGTGAACGAACGTCAATATGTTGAGCTGGAATCATGAATGGATCTTCCTTACTGAATAAACGTGGTATTGCTTTAACTGATTCTTCAATTAAACCGTATCCTGGTGTAATGCATTTATCCTCTAAAACTTCCATCTTTGTGCATGAAATAATAACGTCATCAACTGTTGCGTCAGCAGATGTAGCGGCTAAGCTTGTAATTAATTTGGCAGGAAGTCCGATTTGTTGGAATTTGCGATCATATTTATAAACATGATTCATAATCTTTTCATAATTTTCATCAGTTATCTTTTCATAAACGTAATTTTGTAAATCAGCAACTCTTAACGGGTCAACCTGACAAAATACTAAAGTATCCCTGAAAACATAATATTTAAGAATGATATCACCAAATGATTTAGGATAATCATCGAACGCCTGAAATGCTAACAAATCATTTACCGGAATAATCATATCAAAAGTGACATCAACTTCTTCATTTGCTTTCTTGAAAACTTCTGAAGGGTCAATATATTTACCACATACTGAGTTATCATATTTTTGAACATTATTATATAACGAATGAACAAACTTTTTAACTTTCCTTTCTGATTTTGGTTTATATGTTGCAAATGCGAAAGATTCACGGGCGCAATCCATCTGAAGATAACCGGCATCACCTCTTTCGGTTTCTACTTCTAATTGTTTAAAGCTTTGATTTGATGATTTGTAACCAACGAATAAACGCATGCATTTAAAAGCGGTATCACATGTGAAAGCTTTATTTGAAACTAGAGTTGCTTTAACTTTGCGTTTAATATATGTGTCACCTAATTGGTTCACATCATGAGCCGGATTTGTAATTCTTAAATGAGTTTGTTTATCATCAAAATATGGAGTATCAGAGTCATAGCATGAACTTTCAAGTTCTCTATAATATCTTCTACCGTCATTCTTTGCGAATATTTCATTTATCTTTTCGAATGAATGAAACACATTTCCATTAATCGGTTTAGTGTTTGGCACCAAATAGTTAGTCGTCATTTATTATTAAATAAAAAATCAAAATTAAAAGATGAAAATGAATTTTTAATTTTAATGAAATAATCAACTATGGCTGCAGGTATATTTAAGAAACTGTGGGATAAAGTAAAAAGAGGAGCGCATAAAGTTTGGGAAACAATGAAGAAAGGAGCAAATTGGATATTTAAGAATAAAGAAGCAATTAGTGACATTGCTGAATCAATAACGCCAAAAGCTGCCCCAATAAGAGAAATTTTAAATAAAGGAGAAAAAGTTTATCAAAGACTACAACCGATACTAAGATAAAAATAATATTTATTTATTTTTCCACTATCTACCTCCTATTTTATTAAGTATTCCTTCAGCAATTCCACCAACTGCGTTACCTGCTTGTGCTCCCATCACCGGATTACCTGCTTTAGTACCTAATACTCCACCTATGATAGTTCCTGCCGTTTCGCTACTGGTGCCAAAAAGTTTGCAACGGGTTTAATAATCTTTTATAAACCCAACCCGCAGCTTTCTTAATTCCATCCCATAATTTTTTAAAGAATCCTGCCGCCATTTCTGATTTAATATTAATTAAAAAATATATTTCATCACTTATATTCTAATTTTTATTTAATGATAAATGAAACCGATTTTAAAAATAAATGAAACAGAGGAGGAAGAAATAAATGAAAGTGTAAATGTTCAACAAAAAATAAACGTTGTTAAACCAATTACTGAAATAAAAATTTTTTCATCTGTTGAAGAATTTAATGACTATTATGCTAATAATAAAAAATTATTTGAAGAATTGACAACATGTAAATTGAATAAAATGTTTAAAGTTGATGGATTCAAAATTTCAAAAATAAAGGGGGTGGTTAGTTTGAAATCTATTCCTCAATCAAGAATCACCTCATTAATGAAAATAGATGATTTAACAAAAAGAATAGAAGAGATTGAAGAAAGAATGAATCAAATAATTGATTTCATAAATTCAAATAATCATTAGTTTCAATTTCTTTTTACTCGTTTATGAGGTCTTTGATTATGACTCCGTTGATTCCATTCAGGATTTAAACAATGTTAATTTTTTTTATTTCATCATGTTTGGGCTGAGTGTAAATGTCTTACGTTTACAAAATTTTTTAAATCTTGATTTATTCAAAAACGTAAGAATAAAAACCGTAAGAATCATACATTTTTTACTTCATATGTTAAAAAAAATGATACAAAATCATTCAATATTGTATGAATTCTTACGTTTACAAAAAAAGTCACACAACCCGTCATATACTACTACTATTATATCCCATGATATTTCCTCCTGCATCTTTGAGATTTTGCGACAGAATTTACTTGTTTACTTTATGGTATGAATATTTCCATCTTCTTATATTATTATCATCATTTTTTTTTCGTTGATGGGCGGAGAACTTGTTCTGAATTACGAATACATTGCTGCTCATATCAAAGATTATATACAAGAGAGCGATTTTTTTGACATCTTTGCAATTGAGGACATCAAAACAATTTTGAAATACGTAAATTTTTCATCTGAAGACTTTATTTCGTTCCTTAAGTAATCAGATTCTAGTATTACAAAACTAAATTTATATAGATGCACTAGAAAAACAAAAGTTTCAGCACAAAACTTTCATGAAGCGATTTCAATTATTAAATCAGTAAAAAAGCACATGGGGCTTAATTTTCTCGATGGTATTCCTGACATTTTATTTCAAGTTGATGCAGAGATGTCTGAATCAACAAAAATGATATCAATTCTTCAAACAGAGTTAATTTCCATTAAAAACCAAATAGAAAACAGTGCCAAAGAGATACGATTACTCAAATCTCAATTAAAAGAGAAAGATTCCACAAAAAATGCAAACAAAGAAGAAAACCAAGTGAATAATCAAAGGATGAATGAAAAACCTGTTTCGTACCGAAATGGCTAACAAAAAGTGACAGAAAACCTTAAATTGCGCGGCAATTTTAATTAAAAAAATAAACATTAATTTTTGTGATTGATATTATGCATTTTATTTATATTATATAAGATTTAAATTTAGGGGGAAAATTGGAAAAAAAATAAGATTGGAAGTCTTTAGGTAAGAAGGAAAGGGCAAGAGATATATAGTGTACCTATATACCTCTTGCCCTTTCATTCTAAGTAGAAATGGGAGAAACTTTGTCCGCATCATAAGTTATGCGGACAAAGTTTCTCCGATTTCTAATGGGAATTGCAGGATATGAGGCACTGATATATAATCAGTACCTCATAGCCTACAATTCCCCTTATTAGACTTCCAAACTTTGAGTTAATGTCTTGACATTAACTCAAAGTTTGGAAAACTTCTCGTAAGAATCAATCGTCAAAAACCTCGATTGCAGTTATATTCATTGTGTTAAATTTGATTTATTTTGAAATTTTTATAAATTAAATTTTATATAACATAAAGCGTTATGAATTAGTATTTCCATATGAATTTTATCTCGAAAATAGTAATTCTGTACAGTTATATTTCGGTTAATTTTGGAAATTTCTAGGAATACTTTAAGATAGTATGATTATATATAACTCTGCCTTCATGATTTATTTTAGCTTTCGCGCAAATATCAGTTAACTTAACTCCATTATTTGATTTTGTGATGGCTTCACAAAGCCAATCAATATCAATCTCTTCTGGAGAATGTCTTCTCATCTAGAATATTTTCAATACTTTACATACAAACATTTTTATTTCTAAAAAACTTTTTAATTTTTTCTAGGATATATGAATGAAAATAGTTAGAACAAGATTTTGAAGCTCAAAACATTAAAAATTATTAAAGATTTGTATAATATGATTAAAAATGGGAAATAATATGAGGCAATATAAAGGAATATGAATATTAAATAAATATATCTAAATAGAAAGAATCAGAAAAATCAAATTATTGGCGCCAAAAATGTCACCTTTTTGGTGAGCCATTTCGGTATGAGATAGGATGAATGAAAAACCTAAAGAAGTGATGAATGATAATAAAGAAAACGAAACAAATTCACCTCAAACAGAAGAAGACGAAAAACTTCCGTTATCTTTTCGAATCTCACTTGCAAGATACAAATTATCTAACAATGTTGAAAAAATTTGTAAATTCTTAGAAGAAGTTGCAGAAAAAGGAAATCAAAAAATGATTACAAGAGCAATTGAAGAAGGGCTTTGTGATAAGTTTGACCCAAATGGCTTAAAAGTGATTCATCTAGCAGGCGAAAAAGGAAACCTCAAACTTGTTAAATCTCTCATTGAATGTGGTATTGATAAAGATCAATTGACGCGCTATGGACAGACTCCACTTGTTCGCGCATCAGCTTATGGCCAACTTGAAGTTGTTAAGTATCTTGTTTCACTTGGAGCTGAGAAACATAAAGATGCACTCTATTTTGCAGCATATGAAGGTCATCTTGAAGTTGTTAAAATATTAGTTACTGTTGGAAAACATCGAGTTAACGAAAGTAAATGGGGTCTTACTCCAATCATTGCGGCATCACAACGAGGTCAGCTTGAAGTTGTTAAATATCTTATCTCTGTTGGAGCTAGAATACAATTGAATGATTATGATGAATATTCTGCAATCGTTTGGGCGGCAGGAAATGGTCATCTTGAAGTCGTAAAATATCTTGTCTCAATTGGAGGCGACTATAATGCTAAGGAGCATAGTGGAAGAACAGCACTCTCGGTTGCTAAAGGTAAAGTCAGAGAATATCTATTATCTATTGGAGCTGTATAAATAAATCATTAAATATATCTGAAGTTTTATAATATGAGATAATAATTCAAATTTTTATCTGAAGACTTTATTACATTCCTTAGTACAGGAAAAAATCAAGATCCTATCAATAATTCGGACTTGTAAAGGATATTTTTGTATCAAGAAAGTCCGGCATATTGTACATATATAAAACATCATATGAAACAGTACCTATTTGCATTAGGACAATCTGTTGGACTAAAATAGATTTTGTTTTTTTTTTCTCGATATTTTCAATGCCTATTATCATATGATAGTACTGATATTTGATATACATTCAAATTTAATTCTAGTGTAATTAGAATGACAGACAGACTAAATCCTGAATAATTCAATTGTTTTTTTTTCTCCATTCAATTCAAATTTTTCTGGTTTTCTATGAATTTTGATCCACAGATTTTGTGGAAAATTAGAAGTGAAAACCAGGAAGATTTAGATAGGTTATTTCAATTCTTAGCCTATCTCCACTCAAATCCGCAATTTATTTTTCAATTATTTCAAGATTTCGAAAGGGATGAATTAGACAATTATTTAAGAGAGTTGCTTGCAATAGAGGTGAAAAATTCGTTAAGAATGCATTGGCTAGAAGATAATTTTTGGTCAGATCAAGAAAAAAAATTAATTATATCAAACTTATTTAGCATGATTGAAATTGCACCAACAAAAATCAAATGGAACACTGCATATATCTTCGATGCAATTGTCTGCAAAAAATTAAGCGAACTTTGGTGGTCAGAATTATTAATTAACAGAATAAAATGTGCTGACGATAATTTAAAGCCATATTTAATTTATATAGCCCTAAATATAATAAAGGCTCATAACAAGGAAAGGAAACTATTCACAGATGAGCTTGATTCTGTCTTATGCGAACTATTCCAAAGCTATATGTATTGCTTTGATGCATACCTTCAAAACAGTATGAATGATGAAAATGATTGCCTTGCTAGTATATTTATTATCAAGTCTTTTCGGTATCTTCTAAAGAATTCAGCAATAATCACAACGATCCAAGATATTGAACAACTGTCAAGATCAATATCACAAGTATTATTTATCAAAAATCCGTCTAAATCATTTGTAAGCTTTCAATATCAAGTAATTAGAACATTTCAGACCATGGTGACCGAGTTTTATGGATCACAAAGCAAATCTTATATTTTTGCAAACCAAAATAGGTATGAATATGCAATGCAGTTCAAAAATAACGTAATTCTAATTATCATTCAAGTTATTAAAACGATTATGAATGATATCGAGTGCCCAAAGATCTCAAATGCAATAGCATTCTTTATATATCAACTAGCTTTCTATCAAATCGATGAGTCTTTGTTATCATTAGATTTATTAGAGTTTATAATCAACCGCTGCACATTATCAGATGCAGATTTTGAAGAAATATTGATTAATCCAATCGCCTTCAAAGAACAACAGATGGATTTTGTTGTTGGATTAGATAAAAATCTTCCTAGGTCTTCCTGCGCTTGTTTAATTCAAATACTAGATGATTCACATCCAGACATTATTAATAATTTGATTCCAAATGATACAGACCAATTTCAGGTAATTGATTCAAAATTATTTTTATTATCTGCAATTATTCAACGAAGACAAAGCGATGAAATAGAAATACCAGCTGAAATATATGAAAAATTAATTGAAATATGCTCAGAATGTATGAAAACTACTTGTATTCCTTTAATTTTATCAGCTTTCAAGCTTTATTCTTTAATAATACCTGTTTGTAATCCTCTTGATGGGATACAAGAGTGCGAAAACCTTCTTGTTAATGATTCTACACTAGAAATACCTTTAATAGGCGTTTTCGCATCGAAAATCATGAGAAAATGCATTGAAAACTCGGAAGTCCAGCCAATGATCAATGTTCCGATAGTTCTTGATGCAGTAATTAATCTAATGAACCTTTTAAAGAGCAGAGAGTTCTATAAACTTATACAATGCATCTGCAAAGAATACAGTCAATTTGTTATTCCATATTTGGAAGAAATTTTCCATATTTTCATCGAAGAAGCTTATACAGAAGAAATAGTTGATGATCATTCGGCATCACTGATTGAAAATTCTTTGGAAACAATTGAAAATTTAATTTCATGTTTTACATCTGATAATGATATTCTTATGGAGATCTTCAAATTGACTATGCGTGACTTTATTACGATATTATATAACTCTGATGAAGGATATCCTTATGGATCACTATTTAATATTATTGGACTGTTTTCTCAGAACATTACAAGTGATATGCAGGATATGTATGATGCTTTTGTTGCAATTGTTAATAGTATTTTGACAGATACATCAAAATCAGAAACAATCTTAGAAATGTATTCAAAACAGTTCACTCTTTATGTATATCCTTTATTTTCTGAAAGGGAGTCTGAATTCGTTGAAACAGAACCTGTACAGACAGCTTTTCAAAATATGTGCGAAATTTGGTATCAATTGATATCATCAGCTAGCGAAGATACAATAAATTCTGGATTTTATACAGAAACTATAAGAAATTTCATTTTCATGCTCAACGTAGGAATTCAAGCATATCCAGAGAATCCTTTGCTTGAAAGCCTACTAGTTGAATACCAATAGATCATTCTTGTAATTGTATGTATTTTTATGTATAATTGTAATATTATTTATATAAAATATATAGTTTGAAAATAATATGAGTTAATATTTCTCGCTTTATGTAAAATTCCGAACTAGTCAAAACCAGTAAGGAACTAATGATATTATTGTTCTCAATTACTTAAAGATATGGCAGCATAACTAATGATTTGGGACCTTTTTAAGAGAATATTTCTTTTTATTGATCAATTTCTCAATATACTCACATGTTTATTGCGCTGTATCAAATTCTATATCCATTGTCGTTATTTTTTTTTGGACCATTTTGATCAATTTCAGTTTTAACAAAGCAGAATCAGATGCTTTAAGGAGAAATTTATTTCTATTATCGATATGAAACACTTCTATTATACTTTTGATCTGAAACAAAAATTGAACGGATTTCTGTTTCTTTTCAAAAAATAATTTACCTGCTCGTGTAATAATTCATTTTCTACAACTATCTTCTGTTGTATTTAATAACGCAAATCTAACAAAATTGAATTGATATCTTATTTCATACAAAAAATTATGATACCATTTCTCTCGCTTCTTATTGAAGCTAGGACATTTAAAAAGGTACCAGAGAAGCCTATTCCAATGTGTCCAAATGGTGGATATTACCATTTCTTGTCAGCTAATGACAAAGACTGGAAAGAACGTTTTATAATTTCTCAACTTGAGAATATCACAGGAAACTGGTCTTGTGAGGAAACAGGTGCTCCGCAAGGAGTTCCGGGTGAAAAGATGTTTTTCATGGAACTTGGTTCTGCTTATTATGGCGCATCAACACAATTTGTAAAACCACTTATATTACAAAATCAAACATTAGTTGTTCAATACGAAGTTCGTCTCCAAAATGATTTGGAGTGCGGTGGCGCCTATGTAAAATTATTTAGCGATGAAAACTACGTTCCAGAGAAAGTATCTAACGAAACGAAGTACTCTATCATGTTTGGTCCAGATAAATGCGGTGGAACAAATAAAGTACACTTCATTTTCCGCCATAAGAACATTTTATCCGGAGCTATTGAAGAAAAGCATCTCAAAGATCCTCCTCAAATCAAATCAGACAAAATTTCACATCTCTACACCCTAATTGTCCGTAAAGACAACTCTTACGAAATTTTAATTGATGGAGAATCATCGAAATCAGGCAGTTTACTCACAGACTTTGATCCAGCTGTGTTCCCTAAAAAAGATATCGATGATCCAAACGATACAAAGCCCGCTGATTGGGTTGATGCCAAACAAATTCCAGATCCAAACGCAACGAAGCCAGAAGACTGGGATGAAGACGAACCACAGTTCATAAACGATACATCCAAGTTCGATCCACCCGAAGGATGGCTTGAAGATGAGCCAAAAATGATCAAAGATCCAAATGCTACGAAACCAGCTGACTGGGATGAAGAAGTCCTTGGAGAATGGGAAGCCCCTGATGTACCTAACCCACTCTGCGTATCAGCTCCTGGTTGCGGACCATATGAAGTTCCAGTTATTCCAAATCCAAAGTACAAAGGCAAGTGGTCACCACCAATGATCGATAACCCTGAATACAAAGGCGAATGGAAGCCAAAACAGATACCAAATCCATACTATTATGAAGATCGTCATCCTCATAATTTTATGCCTATAACGGCTGTTGGATTTGACCTTTGGGAAGTCAACAGAATGATTGGTTTCACTAATATTTATATCGGAACAGACGAAGATGCCGTTTACAAGTGGAATCGCGATCATTTCATTCCAAAACACAAGAAACAAGAAAAGGCAAACTCAGCAGATGATAAAACAGAACAGAAGAAAGAACTTGGTGGCTTATACATGAAAGCGGTTAAAGGTTGCAAACAAATTTGGAAGAATTTCGTAACTCTTTACATTGCTTATCAATGGCCAACAATTGGTGCTTGTGCAATAATAGTAGTACTAAATATCATTGTTTTCGTACTTTGCGCAAGATCTAGCAATTACACGACCATTTATGTGAATATTAAAGTTCGTGAAGAGCCAAACCAAGAAAAGGAAGAGAATAAAGAAGAAAAGGAAGAGAATAAAGAAGAAAGTGATGATGAAAAGGAAAAAAAAAGTGAAATTGAAGATAAAGATGAAAAGGTAGAGAAAGTATTTTATAGATTTCCAGATGGGGAAAAATTACGCCACTAAGAAGTAAATGCTCTTGGGGAGAGCTCCACTTGAGGAGCTGATGATTAAATTTATTTGATTTTTCTAGTAAAATTTTCAATTTTGGATTTTTTTTTTAATTTTTTTATTTTTTCTTCAATTTTATTGACATGCTATACATATATGTCATGCTCGGAATATCATTACACCTTTCAAAGCAGATAAGTATAGTATTCTGAGAGAACTTCGTTAAACGATGATAAATGGAAAGAAAAATAATGTAATAAAACAATTAAACCCATTTTCTAACATAAAGTCTCCGTATTGTTTTTCTGCCTCAATATTGAGTGAATCTCTATCGAAAATTTGAATAAGACTTTATGAAGGAAAAGGAGTTTATAAACTTGAAAAGAAAGAAAATGTAACGTTTCAAAATTTTTTCTGGTTCAAAAATTGCTGACTGGTTCAGATGCAGAAGAAAACAAGAAAATATCTTTTTGCCATTTTTATTATCGGCTGCTTTATTTTTGACACAATGGCAAAAATATTTTAAGGGTCAACTCCGGCCAATTTGACACACAGGATTTTTCACTATCAAGGAAACTACTTGAATAATAAACAATTATATGCAATATTATTATAATTATTCTTATATATACTGTGCCATATTATGGGGCAATCAGATAATTTGAACTCTCTCAATTTGGAAACGTTAATAAAATAATGATAAACATGAAAAGAAAGAGAATTCTATAAAATAATGACAATAAATTCTATGAGAGAGGCCTTTTTAAATTTTACTTTGGTTATCATTGGTAATATGTAAGGCTGCTACTGTTGTAATATTTCGAAAAAAATAATGGTTTCAACTTTAATGCAAGATATGATGAGTTGAACATCGAATAATTGGATTTTTGTAATATTAATATTCTTTATTCCCTAGTATATCATTGTTTCATACTAATAACGTGGATTAATTCTGTTTCAATGATCAGATAAAGCGAAAACAATATACTCATTTGCCACTTTTTTGGTCTCAAAAAAGAGTTTTTTTTCATATCTTAGCTTGAACAAAAAAGTAGCTTTTAGTTTACTTATTGTTACATCAATATATTAAATATTCTCTATATTCTCATTGTTTCATACTGGGTTATGTTTCAAATGTCTTGATAGTCTAGATCGGAAAGAATATTTTCGAAATCTTTTGAAAAACGATTATTGAATTAACATTATATTATTATGAGATGTTTATTATTCAAAAATAGCAACACTACGATATCTTTTTCATTATAGAATAATGCTATTGGAAAAAGAATTATTAGACATTTGTAGCACCATGTTCAACTAAGAATTGGATAATTTTTGTTACTTTATTTTCGATGGCAATACTAAGAGGGCATTCATTAATATCAAGAGAATTTCATAAAACAATGATAAATATGAAAAGAAAGAGAATGTAATAAAACAATGATAAATATAAATAGAAAGAGAATGTTATAAATCATTGATAAATATAAAAGGAAATAGAATGTGAAAAAACAATGATAAATATGAAAAGAAAGAAAATCCAATAAAACAATGATAAATATGAAAAGAAAGATAATGCCATAAAACATTGATAAAGATGAAAAGAAAGAGAATATAATAAAACATTGATAAAGATGAAAAGAAAGAGAATGTAATAAAATAATGAGATATATTATAAGAAAGAGGATAAGTTTCATGTTAGCATCAGCACCATGCTCAACTAAGAATTGGATAATTTTTGTTACTTTATTTTCGATGGCAATACTAAGAGGGCATTCATTAATATCAAGAGAATTTCATAAAACAATGATAAATATGAAAAGAAAGAGAATGTAATAAAACAATGATAAATATAAATAGAAAGAGAATGTTATAAATCATTGATAAATATAAAAGGAAATAGAATGTGAAAAAACAATGATAAATATGAAAAGAAAGAAAATCCAATAAAACAATGATAAATATGAAAAGAAAGATAATGCCATAAAACATTGATAAAGATGAAAAGAAAGAGAATATAATAAAACATTGATAAAGATGAAAAGAAAGAGAATATAATAAAACATTGATAAATATGAAAAGAAATAGAATTTCATATAACAATGATAAATATAAAAAGAAAGAGAATGTCATAAAATAGTTAAAAATATGAAAAGAAAGAGAATGTTATAAAATAGTTATAAATATGAAAAGAAATAGAATTTCATAAAACTATGATAAATATTAAAATAAAATGAATTGGATAAAGCATTGATAAATATGAAAAGAAAGAGAATGTAATAAAACATTAATAAATATGAAGAGAAAGAGAATGTAATAAAAAATTGATAAATATGAAGAGAAAAAGAATTATATTTAACAATGCTAAATATGTAAACAAAGTGAATTTTTTAAAACATTTATAAATCTGATAAGAAAGAGAATATCATAAAACAATGATAAATATGAAAAGAAAGAGAATGTAATAAAACATTGATAAATATTGAAAGAAAGAGAATTTCATAAAACAATGAAAAATATGGAAAGAAAGAGAATTTTATAAAACATTGATAAATATATATATATAAAAGAATATAATAAAACATTGATAAATATAAAAAGAAAGAGAATGCTATCAAACAATGATAAATATTGAAAGAAAGAGAATTTCATAAAACAATGATAAATATGAAGAGAAAGATATTGTAATAAAACAATGATAAATATGAAGAGAAAGAGAATTTTATCAAACAATGATAAATATTGAAAGATAGAAAATTAAATCAAACAATGATAAATATGAAAAGAATGAGAATGCCATAAAACAATGATAAATATAAAAAGAAAGAGAATCCAATAAAACTATAATGAATATGGAAAGAAAAAGAATTCTATAAAACATTGATAAATATGAAGAGAAAGAGAATTTCATAAAACAATGATAAATATGGAAAGAAAGATAATAATATAAAATAATAGTAGTAGGATAAGGCGGGGTGTGTGACTTTTTTTGTAAACGTAAGAATTCATACAATATCGAGCGATTTTGTATCATTATTTTAACATATTAATTTTAAAATAATTTATTTTTTTATTCTTACATAAATGACCCAACAAGTAAAACCAGATAAAATAGATTATCGAATTTTAGAGGATGGTGTTCCTGTTTATATTCAAAGATTTAAAGGGAAGCAATATTATAGAATTGTTAATCCTGAATACATAAAACATTTATTTAAAAAGGAAGACTGTGAATTATTAAACGTTAATGAATATGAAACCAATAAATCAAAACTGAGATATAAATATATTGGAAGTGATGAAAGGTGCAAAGATAAAGATAAAGTTTATACAGTTTCATATAATGAATGGAAAACCAATAAGATAAGAAAACATTTAGGAGATTATGGTAAAAGTTCTGAATTCTTTAAATCTAGTATGTATGAGAGAGTAAAAGAAATTAGAAATAATTATTTTCATTAAAAAATTAACATTAATTTTAAAATAATTTTATTTTTTATCTTTTATAAAAGAAGCTATATATAGATGATGTCAGATATTCCGCGATTAATTAAACATTGTTTAAATCCTGAATGGAATCAATGAGTCATAATCAAAGACCTCATAAACGAGTAAAAGATTCACTACCATAATGAAATAAACACATTAAAAAATAAACTTTAAAAAATTCATGTCTCAGAATCAACATAGAACTTTAAGAAACTAATGATATTTGATTTATGAAATCAATTATTTGATTCATTCTTTCTTCAATCTCTTCTATTCTTTTTGTTAAATCATCAATTTTCATTAATGAGGTGATTCTTGATTGAGGAATAGATTTTAAACTAACCACTCCTTTTATTTTTGAAAGTAGTATATGTTGAAGGGTTTTGTGACTTTTTTTGTAAACGTAAGAATTCATACAATATTGAACGATTTTGTATCATTTTTTTTAACATATGAAGTAAAAAATGTATGATTTTTACGGTTTTTATTCTTACGTTTTTGAATAAATCAAGATTTAAAAATTTTCAGAATCGTAAGAAATTTTCACTAAACCCATACATAAAAATAAAAAAATAAATCTTTAAAAATTCATGTCTTACATTTTTTGAATAATTTATTTTTTTAATTCGTATGAAAATGAGTGTCAAGACTAACGACGTTAAAAAATTGGGATTCACAAACGAGGAAATAAAGGATATATTAGAGGAGGCGAGTTATGAAGTTAATAAATATTATTTAAGAAATTGTCAAAAATTCGCGGAGTTATTAAATGATTTAGATTATGATGGAAAAATGAATAAAGATGATGTTATAAATTTCTTATATCCCACATCTGAAGAAGAAAAACCTAAAGAACCTGATGTTTTCCCTGAATATTATGAAGAACGGATTAAAGATGATGAATATGATGAAATTGAAAGACTGGAAAAAATAAGAGATGAAATAGATGAAAAAATTAAGGAATTAAGAGAAGTTGAAAAATATAATGAGAATGAAGTAGAGGGTTTAATGAATATCCCAGCTTCAGAATCAGAAGTTCAAAAATCTCATGAAGAAAGATATAAAAATTACTTTTTGGAATCTACTAAAAATTTATTAGATGGTGAAATAGATGAAACACTTTCAGAAGAAGGCACAAAATTTATTCATAAACATAAGTTACAATTTATTGACGATGGAGATTATCCATGTATATTACTTTCACCTCCTCTTGATTCTGAAAAATTCAAAAAAGCACTGAAAAATGTAACATATGCAACAAATACGATTAAGAAAGAAGACCATGATATTTACACAAATTATTATTTAAATAAATGTACAGGTGTTGATAAAGTTTTTGATTTGTTAGATAAAATATCAAAAGAAACAATTGGTACATATAAAATTTTATGCGATTGTGGTTTCATTATTGAAGATACTAATAATGTTTCATATGAAAGAACAGCACCGAAGGAAGACGAAGTTGAAAGGTCTATACCATTCGTTATTAAGAATATAAAAGATATGAAAACTTATAAACATTATATTTATTCATTTATTTCAGAAAAAATGGAAGCAACCCATAAAACATCATCTCATCATTTTATAGCTATTCATACATTCCTTTTCAAAGTTGTGAAATTAAATAAGACAGGAATTAGATTTAATGTATCAGGGTACGCATTCTTGAGTAAATTAAAATGTATTCGTCACGTCGCAGATGATAAAAATTTATGTGTTCTTAATTCATTTTATGGACTTTAGCCCTGGACTTTAAAAAAAAAACTTTATTTTTATTTATTTTTTAATTTTTTATTCTTACATAAATGAACAAAAACGGAACAGCTAAAATGAATGATAATCAAATAAGAGCCGAAGGTAGAAGGTTATTTAAACGCTTCTATAACATTCCTGATGGTGTTAATCCTAAAACTCGTAGAAGTTATTTAAATGAAGCCATAGATGCATATGAAGGATTTGACATTTCATCAGAAAGTGAGAGGTTAGCAAGAATGTTAAACGTTAATATTGATTTTTATTATTGTGACCCTCAACCAGAAGACGTAGACATAAATAAGGTAGACTTTCCATTAGTGGAATCAATAATGATAGATCCAGAATTTGAAACAGTAAATATTTTATTAACACAGAGTCCATGTGGAAAACTTCACGCTGACAGAATTACAGACGTTGAAGCACTCACAGGATATAAAGTTTGCCCCTTTTGCAAAGAAGAAGTATATTCTATCCGTGATGACCCAGAAAGGAAAAACCAAAGAAGATTTTTAAAACATTGTGAGAAATGTAAAGAAAATAATGGAAGATTAATTCAAGACGTTCAATTGCAAAACACACAACAACCATATGCACCACATATCACGAAACAGAAGATATATCAATGGCTATTAGCTCACAATTTGCAGGAATATTATAAACCAACAAGATATTATATTACTTTTGACTTCGAAACATTAGAGACTAAAGAAGAACTTCAACTTTCTGAATGTGCAACTTTGAACGCTTACTTAAAACCATTTATGGTATCATCAACTGTCAAAATAAAGCCGCAAACGGACTCTTTGAGTCCTGAAGGTCTTTCAGACCGAAGCGGCGAGGTCGTAGACCGTGATAAAACATTTACGAGGAATTTTTGCTTAACATCAAGTGATTCGTTCATCTCTGATTGGATTGAATTTTTATTTTCAACCTGTTCATTAGTTGCTAAATCAAATATTGAACAATATGAAGAATTAATGAAGCCGCAAACGGACCAAACGGCGGGGACTTTGTCCCATACATTAAATGAAAAACAGAAGGAAGCATTTAAAGAACTTCTAGATGAGGAATTCAATAAAGTGAATATCATAGGTTTTAATTCGGGAAAGTTTGATTTAAATTTAATTCTTCGTGATTTAAACACTGCAAAATGGAAAATAAAATCAATGCTGGGTTCTTCTTCTCAATTTAAGCAAATCATTGTAAAGAAAACAAACTGTCCATATGAATTAAGATTTATTGACATCAGAAATTATATAGCGGGTGGAACATTAGACCAATTCACTCAAGATTTCGGAAACAATAAATCACGTGTTAAATCCTTTTTCCCTTATCAATTCATCACATGGGAGAATTACGAAGATGAATTATATAAAGTGGAACCATTCACTCAAGATTCATTTTATTCAGCATTAACTCAAGAAACAATATCCGATTCAGATTATCAAATATATCTCAATGATGCTAAAAATTTTGAGAATAGATTAGAATATTTTATTCATTATTGCAATAAAGACGTTGAAATTATGATTGACCCAATTGATAAAATTATTGAAGAAACATTTGTTTATAAAATTGACATGCTTCATAATCTTTCTTTATCATCGAATGCATCAATGATTCGTTACGCGTTAGCATATAAGAACTTCAATCCTAACGAAACATATCCAGAAGAAGAAAATGTGGAATCAAGTTTTGAATTAACAAAAAAGTATTGGAAATATAAAATTGATTCATATAAGAAACAAGATGAAAAAGCAGAAAGGGATACTAAAAACAATGTTTCAATGGATGACTATCAATACTATCACGATTTAATCCTTTCATCTAAATGCAAAATGTGTGGTAAAGCGTTTACATATGCTAATAAACCAACATTAGATAGAATCGATAATGAAAAACCACATACCAAAGAAAATTGTCAGTTAATGTGTTGTTATTGCAATGTCGTAAAATCAAATAAAGATGAAGATGTTCAACGTTTAAGAATCAATTTAAGAAATTATACATTAAAAAATAATTTACCAATGACTCTAGATTCAGTTGAAGCTTATCACATCCTCCGTAATGGAATTACTGGTGGTTTATCAAATGTTCAACATAGAGTAAATCTTAAAGGAATCACGCACATTAATAAACTTTCATATAATCCAGAAACTAAAACTGTATCAAATGAGGACACTTCCAACATTATGACTCATTTCGTTGGTGTTGACTTTAATTCATTATATCCTTCATCATTTTCATCTAATCCTCATGATTTCATTCAATATACTGACCATAAAATGTATATGCCGGGAAGATTGAATGGTGTTATCATTTGTGATACAGCAACAAAGAAAGCAAAAGCACTGGGAATAATTAAGAAGAAAAATACTTTATTCGTGGCTGAAGTAAAGGGTCACATTGATGAAAAATACATTAATGATTACATAAACTTTTTACCGATAATAAGAAACTTAGATATTATCACAGATGAAAAAACAATTGGCAGTTTTATGTATAATTACATGAAATCAAACAATCTACCAGTTGACCAGAAACAGAGAAAATTAACTCAGTTAGCATCAACACACAACCAATATCAACCATTTTCTTCTTATTATCTTTGGTATCTAATAGACAGATTTCATTTTATCATTGATGATATTCAATCAATTTTAACATTTACTAAAAACACTTGTTTTAATGAATTTGCGAACGAATTTATGAATGAAAGACAAAAGGCTGAATTAGAAGGAAATAAAGGAAAAAGTATTTTGCAAGATTTCACTTAATGGATCATATGGTTACGATGCAATGAATACAACAAAATTACGCAAAGACTAAAATAATGAATGCACAGAAGGCACGCGTTGCATGTATGTCAAATAAGTTTAAAAACATAAGAGAAATAGGTGAAGATACGTATCAAGTGATGCTTAAAGATAGATTTTATAGATGTGATACATGTTTACAAGAGGCATTCTTCACTTTAGATAATGCTAAATACTGGTATTTGGTTTTCATTTATGATTTTATGTATAAATGCATGGATGTTAATCGTTTTCATTTCATTGAAGGTGATACTGATTCATCTTATTGGGCTATTGCTGGCGACCCAAATCTTCCTAACACTCAAGCATTTCAAGCAATTGTTACCGATAAAAAATTTTATGATAAAAACATTTACAAATTCGCACCTTTTGATTTCTTTTGTTTTAATGAGAAATTTAAACCTAAATTAAAGAATAAAGCTGAAGAAAAAGCACATGAGAAGAAGTTATTGGGTTTAGCAATTGAGAAACAAGGTGATAACATGGTTGCTTTATGCCCTAAGTGTTATACATCATTCAACGGTTCAATTGATGGAAGTGATTTTAAAAAGATTGCACAAAAAATGAAAGGTGTTAGTTTACGACAAAATAAGCAATTAACACCTAAAATTATTTGGATATAATAAATGATAAAGTGATATTTGATGGTCAGAATATTAATTTACAACTTTAAAAACGGGTCAATGACTCGCTTAACAATCGGTAAGACTGCATTAACAGGGGCACACACTAAGGCTGTATGTTGTGAAAATGGATGTTGTATGCCATTTATTTAATACAATTTAAAATTTTATTTTTAATAAAATGCCACAGAAGAGACAAAAGGAACCGTTAATGATGGTTTTGATACTATGATTCAAAGAGGTGGGCACCCTTAAAAACATTTATTTTATTTTTATATAAATGAATAGCGTAGATTTAAAAAATTTGATTGATGATTTAGTACTTAATCAAAATTTTCTTGATTATTACGATTTAAAAGCATATCTCCAAAAACATAATAAAAATATAACGGGTGATGATATGGAATATTATTATCCATATTAAAAAATGCAGTTTTGAAATATCATGATAAAATAATTTCTAAAATTAAAGACAAAATTAAAAATAATGAATATACAAAGGAAAAAACTAAATCACAACTTAAACAGTTGAAAGATTTCAAAAATAAAGTATTAACAGAAGAAGATATTGATGAATTATATAAATTATATAATCCTGAGCCGCAAAAGCAAAAGGAGCAAAAACAAAAGGTGCAAAACACCCAGGTCCTTCAGACCATAAATGATGCACAAGCTTTAATTTATGATTCATTAGTTAAACCATATTCAGCCCGACTTTTAAATGAAGATCAACTTTTGGAATTCATCCTTCAACATAAACTCGAAGCGGGAAAGTATATTAAACCTTTATATACAGCATATTTAAAACAAATGAATAGAATACATCCAGAATTAATGAAGGAAGGAATGAATTCCAAAACTTCATCATCCAAAATCAAAGCAGATAAAATTAAACCACTTGCAACACCAAAACCTCCAACGACAGTACCACCTCCTCCTTCAGTTAATCCTTCATCATTCACTTTATTATATCCATTTCAAACATTAAAGAAGCAAAAAGATTTTAAAAAGGATTTCAAAATATTAAATAAACCAACTGACCCAAAAATTCAACCGTTAAAGGAAAAATTTAGTCGCCCTTCATTTGCACTATATCCATATTCATACGAAATTGATCATTTAGAATATTCAAAAGGAAACGTTACTTATTTATTTGCCATTAACATTAACACCAGATATTTATATTGCATTCCGGTGAAAGGGAAAACAGAACAGGAAACAAGAAGAGCTATTCAATACTTACTAGATCATGAAAGAGTAGATAAATAAGGGTGATGGTGATAAAGGATTTCAGGCAGCTATGACTCATTATTTCCCACAAATTAATTTTTACTTTTCATCCTCTCCATATACGTTTCATAATAAAATAGTTGATGTGGTAATGAGAACTCTTAGAGATGCGTTAGGGGTTAACGGTCAGATATACTGGGATGGAAATCATGACTCCATCATACAACAGTTAGTATATTATTACAATAATACATGGCATAGAACAATAAACATGAAACCGGTGGAAATGAAAAATGATATTTCAAAAGAATGGGAATATATTAGAAAGCAAATGGAAAGGTTGAATGATGTTAAACGTGAACAAATTAATTCGGGCTCATGAATTTTAAACAAGGGGATAAAGTTTTGATTCATCTCGATTATGGAAAAACTGATAAATCAATGACAAAAAGAAGACGAAGATTTGACACAATAGCTGAATTTGTGAGATATATTAACGGCAATGCATTAGTTGAAGTTGACAATAAATTAATAGAAATTCCGATTTATTTTATTACTCCATTATATTTAAATAATATTTAATTTTTTTATTTCGTAAGAAATGAGTGACAACGAAGCATCCAAGAGTCCAGACAATGAATATAAAAAGAAACTAAACAGAATTAAATCAAAAATATTTATTACAAAAAGAAGCCACAATGTGGTGGGGTTGAAAACGATAAAGAGAGGAAAGAAATAATCGAAAAATTAGAAACTTATCGTTCAATCCTTAAACTGAGTGAAGCAAAAATAAAAGAATTTAATAGAATAAATAAATTGATTGGAAGAGATGAATTTAATAAAGATGAATTTTTAAACTCTATCCAAATTTAATTTTTATTCCTCTTCGACAACATCTCTCTTTCCATCATTACTGCATAACCACATTTTCTCAATTTTAGTGGTTTGTTATTTTTAACATGTTCTTGCATCATTTTTATCATTTCCTCCCTTGTTATGATTCGTGGTAAATTTTGAGCTTGTGGGGTATTCATTTATGATAAAAATAAAAATTTGTTATCACTTATTTTATCGTGAATGTTTTTAGGTTATTCAATAATTAATTATTTTTGAATAACTGAAGGTGCTACCATGTTACCATGTGCTACCAGGTCATTTAACTTCTCTGAAAAAATGAGACAACATGACATTTTGACAACAGTTCAGGAAATATGATGCAGTCCAAAAATAAAGTTAGTTTTAAAATTATTTTTGAATAACTGAAGGTGCTACCATGTTACCATGTGCTACCAGGTCATTTAACTTCTCTGAAAAAATGAGACAACATGACATTTTGACAACAGTTCAGGAAATATGATGCAGTCCAAAAATAAAGTTAGTTTTAAAATTATTTTTGAATAACTGAAGGTGCTACCATGTTACCATGTGCTACCAGGTCATTTAACTTCTCTGAAAAAATGAGACAACATGACATTTTGACAACAGTTCAGGAAATATGATGCAGTCCAAAAATAAAGTTAGTTTTAAAATTATTTTTATTTTTTTATTCCTATATAAATGACAGCAACAAACAACAGTAACAACTATATCGTTTCTGATGAAAATATCATTGATTCATTAGCTGAGGAATTAGTTGTGGCAGAAACTAAAACCCTCAACGAAAGAATTGGTGAAAACAAGATTGATTTACATAACTACCTCAAACACGATGGAGGAAGAGGAAGGAAAACTGGTATGGCTTTATTAGTAAATAAAATTTCAAATTTAACGATTATAGATGTTGATATCAATAAATCGTACAATGATGAACTTAAAGAAACAGTTAGAAAAGACATTTTATCAAAACTTTCGGATAAAGATGTTATCGTTAAAACCGCTTCAGGAGGTCTTCACATTTATTGCAACACTAATTTCTTCTATTCAACCTCGAACAGAATGATTAAATGTTATTCCTGCAATGATTATGATATTGATATAATGACTTCAATGGATGATTCAAAGCGTTCTTTAGTGGTTATGGCTAATTCAAGAGTTCGCAAGAATGCAACAGAACCAATCAATACATACTCATTCATTCGTGGAAGTTATGATTCAACATTAACCAGAACAGTGAATGATATATTAAATGATTTGAATATTAAGGTAAGAGTTGAACAGAAGAACGAAGAAATAAAGACTATCATGAATGAAAACAAAGATGTAAACATTGACGATAAACTAGCTCAGAGCATAGTTGATGGCATCTGTGATTTTGAAGTACATAATGACGGTGGAAACATGAATTTAGAAAAAGAAATAACATTA